GTCCTTCTTGGTTCGAATCTGTAGTGTTTTTATTTGTTAGATGTTTGTGGAATTTGAGGTTGAATTTTCTGGATATCATTTCGGTTTCAACGGCTTTTCTCTGTACCATACAAGAAATCCCGTTATTGTTTAATTCATATTGGAAAAAAGAATCCTGCTTTGAAGATTTTCAATCATGCAGATTTTTTTTAGGGTTTTCATCGTGTCCTGTAGTCTTGTCTGGTTCTAGAATTGGTCATTGTTTTCGAAAGCTTTTTGTGTATTCGTTTTACTAAAAATTGTGTGCAACTCATCTGTGGTGCGCCTTTTGTCCAAATTAACTCACAGTTTACAACGTCTAACGAGTTACAGTATTGAAATCTAATCTACAGTTGATTGCTGCCATAATCAACCTAACTTTGCGTCTTTTTGTATCCTCCGCTTCTATGCTATTTTGTCAACGTGGCGGACCTTTTTATGATTGTTGCAACTGAAATTAAATTTGCTTGTCTAGTATACACTCAAAAAAAAACTTGTGCTGGAATTGTTCTCTTCCCCTTTTCTCATGGAAGCCTGGTTGATTGATGAGTGTGATCAAATTGAACTATTTTGCAGGGTTTGGTTGAAGCTTACTGGACCTGTGCCGTTACTGTTTAGATTCTATCTATGTTGTTGTAATTTTGTTCATATTTTAGTTAATGATGAGCTTAATCCAGAAAGGATCCCAATCAGACACAAAACTAAGCTCCCCTAACAAGGTGACTGCTTTGAATCCAAATGCTGCGGAATTTGTTCCTTTTGCCCTCAGATCATTGCCATCTGGAAGTTCTAGCTCAATAGATGCTTCAACAAGGTTTAATGCTGCTGGAGCTCTTGGGAAAGCAGTTTTAGATCGATCAGAGTCATCCATTTCAAATAATTCTGATGATGAGGTCCACCAATACTGGCGTTGTCAGCTCCCTGATGACATCACCCCTGACTTCAAGGTCATGGGAGGGGATGAACCCCAAGGTCTTAACAATCTCTCTTTAGCAGGCTTGTCTATAAACGATGACCATGAAGTGCCAAGGTTACCTCCTTCTAATGGGAGTAGATATCTATTAAATGAGCAGCAGGAATTGTCTCAATTTCACCTTAGTGGTAGTAACTTTGCTGATAAATTAAGACTTTCCAATTCAGCCTATAGGGAGGACCCGTCTTCAGCAAATTTTCTGAACACATTGACAAAGCCTTGGGATATGCAAATTGGGAGTACCAACCGGCATTTTGGCAGTGGTCGAGAGGGTCTTACTTATGATGATAACTCTGGACATGGATTCTTCAATGATCTTTTGAGTGAGCAAGCTATAGTGGATGATACTGATATGAACCCTTTGGAACTTTTGGCTGCTCAATTCCCTGGTTTTGCTTCAGAAAGCCTTGCAGAAGTTTACTTTGCTAATGGATGTGATTTAAATCTGACCATTGAGATGCTCACTCAGTTGGAGGTAAGACTGACCTTTTAGTGGTAACTGGTAACTGAATTTGGGTCTGATTGGGTTTTCTCATGAGCCTCTTCTTATTTGATGAACTTTGAAAATATACTTATTGTTTTTTAATTATATTTTCAAGCGCGACCTCTGTCTTCTTGCATTGGCTTGCAATTTTTAGTTGGAAATGCATGCTTGTAATATAGTAGGTGCAACATTAAGGTTCATGGGATGGATTGTAACCTCGTAGAGCAACAACTAATTTTGGGCCAGGAAGAGCTAACTTCCTGTAAAGTGAGATGACTCAGACATGATTTTAGGCACTCTCTTATTTCTTGTTTTCAATTCTAAATATCAGTTTTGACCAATCCTCTCCACAACTTGGTTCTGTGCTTCGTGTTACCAATGGTTCTCTCTCTCTTGGTGTGTTCTATGTCATTGTTTCGTGGTGGGTGATCAAGTTATGCAACCATCCCTACGTTTGATTCTTTCTGTGGATGTCCTTGCCATTTTCATTGCATTGATTTCATTGATATTCTTTTGGCAAGAACTTATCAATATAATTTGACTTTGTAGCTTCAAGTTGATGGCAATTTCAATCAGAATCTGAATTCAAAGACGGTTTCAGCTCCCAATCTGAGTGCAATGGACTTCCCTGCACTTACTTCACCTGATGGTCACACTACTGTTAAATATGCTGCAGATAATGTTCAACAAAGCGGCAATCTTTATGGATCATCTGACAAAGACATGCTTCTTTTTAAGTCTAGCTCTTCAATTCCATCTAGAGGTGCCATCGATTTTGCTTCTACTGTGAGGAAATTGGCTTCCCAGGATTCTGGTATATGGAAGTATGACAAAAATGGTTCTGGTGATGCTGCTATTGGCTCTAGTAGAAGTTCTCATGCTCTAGCTCATGCATATAATGGTGGTCAGGGAAGAGCGAATTTTGGTGATAGGTTGACAAACCGTGGTTCAGCTCGAGCAGCTCCGGTTTGGCTTGAAACCGGTGATGCAGTTGGTAAATATTTATGTTCTATGCTTCTATTCTGCAATGAATTCCTTTTACACTCTACATTTGATCATAAATTGGATGGCAGCAAATATGTATTCTGAGCTGCGGGAGGAGGCTCGTGATCATGCACGATTGCGTAATACATATTTTGAGCAGGTGGGTCTCAAATTCTAATGTGGATTTAGATGGCAGTGTATGATGTCATATGATGTGATGCTTTTGCCTATGATCTTCTTGGGTCGCTTGTATTGACACATTCCCCAAATTTCTCTCCCATCTTTCCCTCCATTGAGTAAGTCAATGGTATTATTCAATTTTCATTATTTTTTTTTGGGCAATCAAGTCGGAATAAGAACTAAAGTGAGGGTAGGTTTACTGTCAAAGCTGTTGTATGATTATCAAACAACAGAACTAGAAAGTCAAGGAACAATTGCTGAAAGGCAGGCGCGTTCCTGTCAGAACCGTCTGTTCTTGAGTTTTCTTTCATATGCAACTAGAGAATTTTCTGCAACTGTCAATTGGAGGATTTGTCTGACAGATGTTTTTGTAATTTTAGCTAATTAGTGATGATTTAAAATCAGGCACGGCAAGCATACCTCATAGGAAATAAAGCCTTAGCAAAGGAACTGAGTGTTAAAGGGCAGCTGCACAGCATGCACATGAAAGCAGCTCATGGAAAAGCTCAAGAATCTATTTATCGGCAGAGGTTTGTCATTCTCGAGTGCTCTCACTTGGCTCTCTTTTCTTTTGGTTGAAATAAAGAACTTGTCTAGGGCCTTGTGGATACACCTTTTGCTGCTCCCTCACAAGCTGTATATAAATTGGTATGATGGTTATCTTTTGACAAGTTGGCTCTACCCTTTTAAAGTTTTCCATTCAAACATACCTTTACCTTTTGTTTCTTTCTACTGTCAATAAATTTTATTATACTGAGTACTGACAGCGGCTTTCAAGAACATGTGCTGCTACACTTCTGTTGCTCTTTTTTCCCTGTTCCCCACCTCACGCAGCTTGTACAATCTGCTGAATGGATACTTTCTGGAATGACTTCATGGATAAAAGTGCATAATCATTGTTTGAACTAGAGTGTTCCGCATCACCAGGGTGTTATTTTAAGGGATGGGTTCTGTCTGACCTGCAAAAATGTTGAATGTTCAGGAATCCAGTTTCTCCAGAGATGCAGGGCAACGGAAGAGGACATGAAAGAATGATAGACCTACATGGACTACATGTAAATGAAGCCATTCATGTGCTAAAACATGAATTGAATGTGCTAAGGAGCACTGCCAGAGCTGCCGATCAGCGCTTGCAGGTTTATATATGTGTTGGTACCGGTCATCATACCCGGGGTTCCCGCACTCCTGCAAGACTTCCAGTAGCTGTACAGCGTTATCTACTTGAAGAAGAGGGTCTAGAGTACAAGGAACCACAGCCAGGCCTGCTTCGAGTAGTGATATATTGAACAAAAATGAAAGTGAGGTATACAAGTTTTTGACACAGTAAAAATCCATGAAGTCGTAGACATTGTAGTCATTCTTGTATCTGTACATTGGGAAGTAATGGCGATGTCCGAGCATGAAGAAAAAGGGGAGGCAAAAAAAAAAAAAAAAGGGTTCAGAGTAGAGAAAAGGAACGTGGAAATGTTAGAAGGGAAAGACAAGTTTTTAGTAGCAGAAGTGTATCATTAAGGCTTAACCACGGCATCTGGTTACATTAGTCAGCAGGGACTACACGTCAATGCATGTCATGTGATCGTTTTCCTTCTGTTAATTTTGTACCCTAATTTCCTTTTTTTTTTCATGCTTTTTTCAAATCCCTTTTTTTGTTTCTTATTGATTCAGATGTAACTGATAGAATTCAATTACACGATAGAACAATTCACTTTTCTAATTTTCAGTGCACACCCTACCTTAAATACTGTTGGTTGGTAAAGAATTGCTGTCCCCTCTGCATAATTTATGTTGGTCGCCAGTTGACCAAAATAATGCATATTTTCCGTCCAGAAGGCTATCAGCAATTGCAGCTTGCAGTTGTTAACATGTACTCCCTCTTTTAAGAAATGTATAGCATGGTTTAATTGAATATTTTTCTTTAATAAAGTAATTATTTTTTATCAAATTAATTTTATTTTTTTCATGTTTAGTCTTATTTAATAAAATATTTTATTTTAAAATAAAATAAAATAATTGATTTAATAGAGATATTAAAAAAAAACACAATGATTGCATATTGTAAAATTAAAAATATTTTATATTTTTAAGCTTCAATTTTAAAATATTCACATATGTCTAAGGAATCATTGATTGGGCATTTTTTTTTTTAACCTTTTGGTAACATTGACTAAAACATTTTGCCAAGTATGATATAACTTCTGTTCACAACTTGTAAATAGGATGCTATGAATTTTATATAATATGCTGATTGACATGCCAAACGGAATATACCATGTTGAAGTTTGAAGCCTGGTTAAGGTCACCGCAGTACACGATATATATAATTTGAAATACCACGTACATTCTGATTCTCTGTGCATGTAATAGAACTTTTAAAAAAATAAATTAAATTATTCATAAGCCATGAACAATACAACTATTTTTTCGAACTTTATACATATTGAAATTCAAATTCAAATTCATTCTTACTGCTTCTACATGTATCAGAAAGGTGTTGGGAAACAAATACGACTCTCCTTTACATGTTCGAGCATCGTCGTGTTGGACTATTAGTCTGGTAACCTGTCACCAGGAATGCTCTACGTTCTTTTCCTTCACTCTCGCTGTTTTCCTTTTGATTGAATTGATTTATTCGCTCAAATACATTTATATCCAACGGTACCAGTCTCCTGTTCACTTGAAAATCCATCAAAACTAACATGCATGCGCTGCAGAAGGCACTATTCAAAAGTTATATGTTGGCAATAAAAGTCCAAGTTGGAGTTGAATGGTATTAGGCCCTGAGCAATAGTTCGTAGACATTAGAGTTGTTGTCCCCAGCCACACGTTTCAACATTTCAAAACTTGTACGACTACCCAAGAAATCAATCCTTTTGAACATCAAAAACCCACGTTCTGCTGTTTCTTTACTGGAGTACACTGATCGAAGCCCATCAGCATGTCTTGAATCAGTATGAATTGCAGCTTCTATTTCATGGGCTGACAGATTCTCCTACCACAGCATATAACACCTCACAACCACTCAGATCGATGAGGGAATAAAAGGAGCCACAAAGTCCATAAGAAACATACTGAATTAAATTGAAAAGGTCTTCCTATAGAACAGGTTCTAGCTCAAGTGTTTTTTCTTATAACAGGTTCTAGCTCGAGTATTTAGCTTGTTGGAACAGTAGAATAAGCTTCAAATTTTCTAAGATGTGAGAAGGGGAAAGGGGGGAAGAGAGGGAAAAAAGAAGAAGAAGAAGAAGAGGGAAAGAACCATAAAAGATCCACTCATTTGTTTTGACCACATATGCATGCAAGTGAGTTACGACCCAAATCCACTCAAGTATATTTCTATTCAATAGAAGGTTTGTAATTGGTAGGAAACAAGAGCGTGCAAATTATCTTCAATGAACGCTTCAGTAATAATAAAACCCAGGAGGGCAAGCAAAATCCCAAAAGAATAAACCTTGTACCTGATAAAATGCATAGATACGATCCAACACCTGTAGGCATGTAAAGCCGTTGTGGCTGAAAAATGTTCTTGACGAAGGACCCATCTCAGTGAATCGATCAATCGGAAAGAGAATGGTAAGAAAGTGGTTTTTAAATATCAGTTCAGATTTCTCACTGCAAAAGACACCGAATTCATGAGATATGGCGAAACAATGGCTCCTCCAATATATATTTTTTTTAAAACCTTAATTCTTTAATACTTTTACAGGAGGGCAGCTGTCAGTTGACCCCCCAAAAAACAGGCCAGTGCTATGGTAAGTCAAACTTCAACTTATGAATATAAAAACAGGAACAGCATGTATGATAGACTTATTTTGCACTGCATACTATAAGACATTTTTGTTACAATGAACTTGGGAAAAGAAGGGCAGATCTCATTTACTTGTCATCTTAACTGAATAAGAGAAAACAAGGGATAGAGTCAACAACCTTTCTGTTAGAGGTCGAGTGGAGTTTGAAAATGAAGCTTCTGAATCTTTGACGGCCCCTTTGGAATCACAAAAGGTTGAAAAATGAGTTTCATTAGGATCTTCACTAAGAGAGTCGGTGTAAATGGAGGCTGTTGAAGTTGGCTCAGATATTGACCAGCAGATAGAATCCAGAAGGTTGTTAGGTGTTATAGGACGCATTGGAGTCTGACAAGTCTGGAAGAAGGAAAACTCTAATATTATTAAAAAATAAGCCAGAATCTCCCAAAGCCCAATACCTTCTGCTAACTCTGACCAACCAACAGAGAAAGAGTATACATGCTGCAGAAGAATATGAACTTCCTCCCACAATTTACTCACAAACGCAGTCAGTTGGTGTTCTAAACAAATTATCACTAGCAATCAGATGTTCTAACAATAGCACTTCGTCCAGACATACTTTTGAACGCCTAAGGATCCAGATCAGATAAATGCATCAAGCTTTGAAGGAAAAACATTGCTATGAATGCTTTCTTAAACAAAACAAAACAAAAAATGAGACAATGCTGGGAATTAAATCTTCCAATTCGGGGCTGAAGGTTTGTCACCCTGAAATCCATTCCATCAAGAACCAACTCTGTTTTTACTAAACTATAGAAGTGAATCAAATTACATGGTGTGTAACTGGGTAGCAGATAAAATTGAAGTTGCATTATCTTACTGGTAAGTGTTAATGTCAAAACCCTCAGAAAAGAAACAAGTTATGGAAGACTTGCCTGCATTTGACGACCACGGCGATTTCTGACACCTATTTTTGCAGAGTTCACAATTTGTTGTCTTTCTCTGTAACTTCCTTTACTTTTAACGGCCTGAATATCTTCAGGGAGATCGTGCTTAAGTGATTCCTAATATGTCAGAAAAATACATGTCAAATTTCTGCAGAATTGGGAAAAGCATAGGCTTCAGGGCATTATCAATTACAGAATGATTAAATAAAATTAGTGGGTTGACAATTTAAAGAGAAAATAAATCTACTACATTTAGTACCAGCATTAAGAAAAAAGTACAATTAATGTGACATTTCAATACGTATTAAGCCTAGAGTTTGCGTCAATGAAGTGGCTGATACACAAAGCAGAATTATCCTCAACGACTCTGGAGTCATTGACCTCAAGTATAATCCTCAATTAGTGATTCCACTTCCTACATCTTTACAGGTCCTGAAAGCTCGACTGTGACCAATGTGTTATAAATGGTAAATTGCTTTCTGCCAATATCGTTAACAGACAGAAAAGAGTTTAGTGGAGATTGGCATGGTACTCTAGGTAGCCTAATATCAAACCATCATAAGGTCAATCATAAAAATTTTACACAACAATTTACTTATCATGAATTTTTGGGCCTAAGACATGTCACACTCTTCTTGAAGCCAAATGCTCAATAGTCTATCAACCTCAATATGTAGCACTACAGATGATGCAAAAATGTAATATTTCCTAATTCTTAGTTCTACCACAATATCGTTTAATTTTGGTATCAGTCACCTAGATGGAATTGATAACTAATTTATTTTCAGTATTAAAAGTCACATCCATACCAACACTATACACCTATTTCGAAAAGAGTTACCTGAAGTTGAGCATGGCAAAGAATTAGTCAAACGTTACATTCCCAAATTAATGAAATTTTGCACTATGCTATGAAATGTTATAAAAAATAAAACAATATGATATTTAAACTAATAAGAGGTAAAGAGCAACAAATTACCTCCCTTGTAGTGCCAGTATGAATGTCCTCAAGCATCAAACCCACTTGCCTTGCCAAATCAGCAGACATGTGAACAAGCCTTTGTACTTGTTTCTCCTTAGCTGTTTTTAGAATCCACAGTGGCTGAGACATCATGCATCAAGAGTTTCATTGTGAATATGAATAATAAGATAGAGACATCTATACTGTACAATAACACAATAATGCTGTCCATACTGTTAGATAAGCCATATATTGGGACAACCACAGAGTCTGAGGCATCAGAAAGTTTTATGCCCCACAATAATGGTTCAATGTTCAAATAAAAAGGATAAATTTGCAGATCTTACTGTAATGAAGTTGCTAGAATATCCAAGATATCTTTGAATCGATGTCCCTTCAGTGACTACATGACTAGCATTACAACCAACAAACCACCGTTCCATCAAACTGGCACCTTCTCTGGAAGCAGTCTCGACAACCTATCAAACATGCAAAGCATCTGAATCAATTAACCTAGAGCACTGAAATCATAAACTATCATAATTCAAGCAGCAAAGTCAATCCAATAAAAACTGACTTGTTCACATGTACCTAGTACTATGACAACTGCACACACGAGAATTTCAAAAGAATGCAAATATTTTTGTTATAGCACATATGTTTACCTTATTCCGCAATTCAGGTGAGATGCCTGGATCAACATAAATAGAGCAACCGGATAAGAGCAAATCCACATTCTTTCCAGACTCACACCCAGAAAATCTTTGAAATTCTTCAACTCTGTCATTTTGCTTGGTTTCGTGGAGACTTACAGGAAGACAAGAATTTTCATTTGTATGCCCAGAGAGCAGTTTATAATCATCCCAATTCGTATTGTTATTGCCAAAATTGTTCACACTATAAAGTGATTCAATCAACCTCACTGCGGCAGATGAAAAAAAAAATCAGGTCATAAGGATTACTGACATGTATCAATTAAATTCTCAAAGCCTCCTCACAAAATCAATATGATTTGGTTAGTGACATCTATGAAAAAATTGCAAGAAAAAAAGTTATCATTCTTCAAAATTAGGAACCAAAATATTCAGGTCAAGCAAAACAAAATGTTACCATAAAGATAATTGTTATTGAACATATCATTACCCATGGCCCAAAAAAAAAAGGTCACTACCAAAAAAATAATGAAATCCTCAAATTTACAATTAAAATAAAATACAACAAAACTCTTAATGTATCAAAATAACCATAGACTTATCCCCTGTATGAGTAATGGTGTCAAGACACCATTGATTGTAATGAAAGTGTTTGGGGCTTTTTTTTGGGGGAAAAAAACTGACTCTTTGAGCACCAGATACATTCATCTCAACTCCGCCAACTTCTACCTGAGGTAAAAAATGATGAACATATGAAAATTTGGATAAAGTTCTGTTGTTGCTCAGTACCATAGAGCAGGGATTGCGTACAAATATATTTACCATAGGAGTCAACCAATTTTTTTAAAAAGAAAAAATTACACAGCAGAATACAAAATGAACTCTACTGACCATTTTTTCTAACACTATCAACAAACCAACCCAGTGTGACAATAAAAAGACCATTTCTTGCACCATGCTTCAGTGCATGCTCAAACTTACGCCCAGCAAAGCTGTAACAAGTGTTAAGGATTTCATGCCAGGATTGGATCAATCAGGAAACAAAGAATACCGGAGGAACATCAGTGCTGAGGATAGATGAAGGCAAGAGACCATAAAAGATGAGCTCAAAGCATAAGATAATCAGATATTTCTAAACACAGAACAAACAAATTTAAGCAAAGTAGCAACTGAGGCCCTGGGAGGGGTTTTGTCACTCCTAAATAATAATGCCATCATTATGTAAGAAAATTCATATAATTTCACAAAGAAGAAAGGATATCTGAACCACCAAATGGGTGCATTGAGGATGCAAATGGGGACTATATTGGCCACCTAATCTCTCCGTTGCCTCCATGACCTGTTTCCTTGCTTCTGTCACAACAAAATCCAGAGAACATCACAACAAAGAATAATTTTTTGACTTCTCTCTCTTTCTCTCTCTCAGAGATGTGATGGAAAATATGAACTAGCAACTCAAGTAGACCCTCTTGATCTCTTTTTTATATGCAGGTCTTTATGCAAAAAGCAACAAAATAGTAAGAGAGCATAAGATGCCATGCCATGACATGCTGAACATATATCATCAACTATTGAGATAACCATGAATAGACTCCTCTCTACTTCTTGACTACTACTCACGTGTTTATGCAATTTAAACAAAGAAAACTGAAGAAATTAAACCACAAACATATAAGGTAGATAGTGATAGCATCAATTCACCTGTATCTGCCCCCTCAAAGTCTTCCTAACTTACTCTAGTTCATAGCTTAAATTCTGCCTTCATGTTCAAGAACAGATTCAAGAAATATCATCTCCACAGGTTATGTCAAGACTGAAGATCAACCAGGGGCATTTTAACTGAAGTACAGAATATACCTTGAGTTGATTATATTTGTAAAAAGTTAGGCATGATTAGCATCTATGCTCCAGCTTGGGGGGATTGCTAGAGAATATTCCAATTTTGATGTGAACAACTCATAATTGGCATTAGCTTGATTGTAGGGATTTGTAATACTGATTAAATTATTCTGTCATTAATACTAGAGGCTCCTAATGTGTATAAAAAGACGTATTCATACGAATGAAAGAAATTAAGATTTTTCTCCCATCTTTATATCTTGTCAATTAACAATATCCTTTTTCATCTCCTCTGCCATGAATCAACAGGAAAAGAGAGGGACAGTGAGAATATAGTTCTCTCATTCAATAAAAAAATGACAGAAAGTAAAAACATGCTCCGATTTTTGCTAATGACTACAGAGTCACTGACTCCTACATTCTTCTAACTGAAACAGTATCCCAAGAGGGGGGGGGAATTGAGTGCATAGAGCCATCGAGATATCAAGACAGGAAAAGCAATAGACAAATAGGAAGCATAGATGTTAGAAAACAAACATACCTTTAGATAGACCAGTTACGCATATAACGAGCCCAGCAAAAGGAGCACTTGATCGCCCTTCCATGGGTTCAGAACCGTGAAAAGATGAAACAGGAGTCATTGGCTCCAAAGGTTGCAGATGCAAACCCCTGACTAAAGGCAACGAAGGTGAAAACAGTCCAGAGCATCCCTTGCTACTTACAACCTCAACTCTACCGCCGCCCATAACCGCCACTAAAATGGTGAAATTTTTAATTACGCCGCAGCAGAATTGAAACGAAAAAGATAATCAACACAACGAAATCGATATAAATTTAAATTCGGGAAAAAATAGAAATCATGAACCGAGGTACCGATCATTCGTAAACAGATTAAAAGCTTTGATAATTAAATACATCATTAGGCGGGAAATTTTTCTTGAGGAGAATACAGAAATGGTTGAACAAACGCAGGATCACATAATGTAATCAAAACATCCCGAAAACGAAAAAGGACAGAGAAAGAGACAGTAAGGAAGGGCTGAATAGAATCTTGAGTGAAAGGGTGAAAGAACGAAACAGCGAATAAGTATGTACTGGTAATAATTCAAAGACTTGGAGACAAAGAATGGATTTTGAAGTTGCTAGGTTTGTACATGGTAAAAGACATTAGAAAAGCGAATTTTTTTGAATGGTGTGCTCTGACGCTGAGTTTTCTGTGTATGTACGCGGAAGACTGCTTCTTTGGTAACTTTTACTACTTTATATCTCTGCTTTTGCAACGCATGTGAGAGCGTGAGCTTCACCGTAAAAGGCATTAAGGCTGGTGAGTCGCAAGTCCACACCGCAATGAAATTGAAAGTTGGCGAGAGCCAAGGGTTTCGAAAGTTTCCACTTTGGAGTGAATTCTTAAAGTGAGCGCAATCTAATGGCACCACTACCACGATTTCATGGCACCACTACCACGATTTCTGGGACTATGGAGCTAAGCTAACCAGGGTCTGGTGAGTGGTTCAGCAAGGGCCGACTCGGTCAGGTTCATGGTGGTCTGATGAATGCTTGATTTGAATTGAATCATACTTGGCTGCTGCAGAGTAATTTCAAATTTGTCAGGACAAGTGGAACCTTTCCGGTACTCTCTTCTTTTCTTCATTCTAATTTTTTTAAGAGAAAAAAGCTTTTAAAATGGAGGGATAAATTTTCCCCTGTACGAAGAAGAGCCAAAACTCTCGAGCACGTTAGAGTAACAAGGGGAAACAAAAAACAAAAAAGCAATTTCACAGTGTGAGGAATTTCCGTTTGTGATGACGATCCAAACTTCGTTAGCATAAGAAAAATTATACTGAATGATAATCACTATCTAATTAGTCGAACAACATACTGCTTGTTCCCACAAGTTTGCTGCAATTCACTCAAGGCATTGACTTCCACATTTACAACTTAAAAAAACATGGCGATTTGTGCAGAACTGCAGATTAAGCTAACAAATCGGTTCTGTCAAACAGTGAAAATTCTAAACGGCAATTGCGAGCAATGAACTTATGCTTAATGGTTCAAGTGGATTATCATTATCCAAGGACTTGTCAAGAACTATAAATACGGGCTATGCCAAACCTGATGTGATAGCTTGCTTAGGGTCTAATATAGGCTGTGATCATAATAATTTGAGCCAAGAAGATGGTTTGGCGTCCCTTTCGTCATTGAAATTTCATTGTTCTGCTTTGTGAAGAAGCCAATCCTTGCTCACACGGTCCAAGAAGAACTCGGGAAATTTCCTATTTGGCTGTGTTCTCTATTCTATTAAGCTGTGCCATGGGGCTGATAAACCTTTCTTGCTAATCCAATAGTCGACTTTGCTCCTACATATGTCACGAGACACGCTCTGTTTCTCATTCTATTGCGGTGTCATAAAAATTCTTCCTGTAAAGAGTTGCGTCTTTATCAAGTTTATACAGTCCAAGAGAGTGTGGAGATAAGTAACAGGACCACACTTTCACAGTGAAAGATGGAAACATGGAAGAGTATGAAAGCAGTCGGCAATTTAGTTGTCCCTCGTGTTCTGAGCCACGAATGCTGAAGTCCCTTTCCTAGCCAGGCCCTTCCCACTTCGCCTACTTTCAAAATCAAAGCTTTGAAGGCAAAATCACTGGTGATTTTCAGATCGCTATATTTCTTAGATCTACCTTCTTAGCTTCCGATTTTTAAGTAGACTTACTGAAACATTGACGTGTATATAATCCAAAAGATCCTTTAAGATGAGAGGGCTCGGACTTATAAATAAAAAACATAAAGAGACCATACCGGCACAGCTAGCTTCGATTGAGTGACTTCGTGGTCATTGTAAGGTTGTGTGACTCGAAAGTAATGGACGGAGACTGGGGGGGGGGGGGGGGAGACAGTCAACGAAGCCGTCAATCGCCACAGGAAAAATAAAAGACATTTTGAGGGGTTTTTTAACTGTATACTCTAGACACCAAAAGAAATTACTTAGATATTGCGACGTGAGAAGTATTTATCAAATGCTGCACCAAAAATTGTTCAAGTTAAGAATAATTTTAAAATTAAAAATTATTTTTTATTCAATAAAAGGAAACCGATTTCAATTTTTTATATTGATGTGATATTTTATTAACTTTTAAAAATCTCTACAATGGTATTAAATATACACTCCAGGATTGATCAAGCGTATTAGTATGATGCTAGTAATAAGTTTTTCACCTTCTTCAACTAATAAACAAATCATTTGTTTAAGTGTTTATATATCATTTGAATGAAATGATGAGTAAATAATTGTTACTGGTATGATAAAAGAATTATTATAAGGTGTATTAAATTAAAAATTATCAACAATAAATAAATGATTATTAGGTTTGTAAAAATTAATAACGAATGAGTTATATGAATGAATAGTGAAAATTAATTTACTTCACAAATATTAACTTCTAATATCACTTATTGTTTTCGTTCTCATACGTTGTAGCCGTCTTGGTTACATGTTCATCTCTTTTTAAGATTTAAGTGTTTCATTTATTTATATAATCAACTTACTTAAATCAAATTAGAGTAATTCAACTAAAGAAATCTACTATCAAAGGGTGATGCTACCATGTTCGAAAATAAAAGTGTTATATTTAACCGAGAATAGTGTGTGATAATTAAATAGAGAAATGAATGATCCAAATTGAATAGGAATGTGTGAGTTGAAAGTGAATGATGACAATAGTGACATGCAACGAGACTCAAATTAAGTGGGATTGGAAGAGGTGAAATGGGCTAGTGATAGTAATAAGGCTAGCATGTAATAAAATTGACTGAAATTTTAAGGCTCCTATTCCCCTACATTTTTTTTTCAATTAGTGGTTGGATAGATAAGTAGCCACCATGTCGCTTACTCAGTTTATCTCAAAGAATTTGTGGATGAGGCAACTTATCTCTTGATAGAGTAGGCTGAGGGTCTATGTTAAATCGTTGTTTTTCAATTGTAAGTAAAATGTTGTGTCAATTTTGAGTAACTCCATCTCGATAATCAATGCAATAAAAACATTTTCAACGAGAATTAATCATTAGCTTGTATAACTTATCTACAGGCTAAAATAAACATTAACATTTTAGACCATGACACTTTTTTTTAAAGAAAAAAAAAAAAGATGGTACAAATGAAAGAAGGTGGAAAACTTATCCCATATTCAATATCATTAATAATACGTTGAATCCATCTTTGTTCATGTTTTTAATACCATTGTAGAGATTTTAAAAAATGAATAAAATGTTGCATTAATTAAAAAATCTGAATTCATTGAATAAAAAAATATTTTTTGACTTTAAAATCTTCATTGACTTGAACGATTTATGCACAATCTCACATTTTAGTGTAGTATTTTGGTAAGTATTATTTACGTTGCAACATCTGGGTAATTTATTTTAGTGGCTGCAATATATTGGTAAAAAAGTCCATTTTGAGTGGTGAGATTCCCTTGGTCACTTGTTGCTATTTTCTTTCTTTCCCTTTTTAACCATGGCATTTCCCGGTCACGCTTGAATATTTTCCTTTCTTTTTTTCCTTAAACATCAGCAGTGCCGTTGCTGGAGGATTTTTTTTTTTAAAAAATAAATGAAAGATCTTTTGGTAATTCTCTTTCAAAATAAAATTTCAACTTGGTCCTTTGATCTTGTGATCCTGCAATGTAATTTCATGATTATTTAGTCCTGATTTAAAATAAACTCTCTACAGTGATCCTTTCTTGAAAATTTTCAGAATATTTTTTTCGTTCAAAACAAAAATTATAAATATTGTGCATTCACAAAAAATGCGTTTAAACAGTCAAGCCAGGAAGCTATGGTACAAGTCACTCGTTCACTGTCGCAACAAGGAAAAACACATAATGGAAGTAGAATGAGTTGAGGGCCGTGCTCATTCCCATTTGCAATCAAAACATGCCGTGGATGCAAGTGAAAGTGTAACGTTACAAAAGACTGAAAAATCCTCAAAATAAAGAAATGGTCTCAATTATCAAAATTTTAGGCAAAACACAGTAGCATTGGATGACGTAAAGTAACACATAGACTTAGAAAACTTGTCTATCATGATATTATTAGAGCGAGAATAAGCCAAGTAAATAATATGCAATAGAAATGAAGCCAGAAAGATTCATAAGTGCTTGCACGGAAAAAAATTGGAAGTAGAGATTTGGAATACACCTTTCGTTGATTTTTACTCATTGACGATAGCATAATTACAGATTTTGTTGGGAGACTACTTTGACTCATCCTTTAAACTCAACACGAATACCCGTCTCATCCTTTCTTAAATTATATTGTGCAAATCGCAATTGTAATTATGAGATGTTCTCAAAAGTAAGTTGATTAGTGTACATCTATGATGAGGATGCGAATCAATATATAATACCTTTTGGAAGGGCTAATAAAAAAAAATACTAATAAAAAAGTTGATTGCACCAATGGGATTGACATTTTTATGAATATAGAATATGAAAATGAAAAATTTACTGCAAAACAAAAATTTATAAAAAATACGTCTTAGCATTTTTAAATTTTAAAACTGTATATTAATTTTATAATTTTATTTTCCCGCACGAAAGATGTTTTCCTTTCCCTCCATTTTCAAGTGCACCGTCATGAAAATTTGTAAAGGGCTTCGCTCTTCCAGAGTTCAAGTTCAAGGCGTTCGATCCCTCTAGACAGTCGCCACACGATGAGCTCCGTCTTCAATTTGGATCGCAGCCAGAGGCAGGCTCGGCTGGATCCTGCTCTCCAATCTCAGCTTGACTCTCCCATCTTCTCGCTGTTGGACGACGACATTGATGATTTCCAGGTCCCCCTTACCCAGACTACAGTTTCCCACAGCTCCTTTTGCTCCCAAGGACCCCTCAATCCTTCCCGTCTTAATCACCCCCAACCCAAGAGGCCCAGATGCTCTGTTTCTTCCAGCTACCTCGGTAAGGAAAATGAGGCCCCTTTGCCCTTTCTAAATTCTGACTTCGAGGGAAATTCGTCGTCCGTTAAACACAAAACCACTCGCGAAAGCGATGATACATTGAGTTTCGCTTGCGATACTCCTTTACTCGATAAAGGGGTTTGTAGACGCGATGAAAAGTGCGGTTTCGATTTCGTTCCGTCAACAATAGATTGCGGCCAAAACGAGGCCGACCCTGAACCAGAAGACTGGGCAGAAGATTCAGTCTCCGACGGGTGTTGGGCTTGTTCTTCTGAACCCGATGACGAGAATAAATGGAAATTAAAGGAGGGTTACTTTCGCAATTCAATAGAATCAAAGTTGTTGGCATCTCGAAGGGAAAGCTTCAACGGTGGACATGGAAAATCTTTGAATGCAAATGTGAACAACGATTTTAAGGCTGCTTCGGAGCTCGATCTGTTGCTGAATTTTGGTTCTGAATTAGACAAAGTTGATGGCTCTGCGGCTGTGGCGTTTCCTCACCATGAACGGGATGGTTTACATGCTAATAGCGTTGGAGGATTGATTCAATGTCCTCTCTGTGGCATTGACATTTCCGACTTGACCGACGAGCAGCAAAATATCCATACCAATGATTGTATCGACGAAGGGGAAAGTAAAGCTCAAGATGTAAGTTCCTTATTTTTTGCCACGCATTTCCTTTATTCTCCACCATTCATCGATGGCAATTACTATTTAGAGCTATGGTGGATTACATTATCGCAGAACTAGATTATTAACCAGTTTCAATATCCGATAACAATTCACTGTGTAATCTTCTTGCAATTTTGTGTGGTCTGGTATTGCCTTCCATCGACTGAGGACAGTGAGGAGTATATAGTTTTGCAATATATCTTCTCTTAGGGCTCAAAAGCTTCCCAGGAGCAATCTGTTACAGATTATGAGACAATTTGAAACAAGATTACAAATACCAATAAAACACAACGATACTTTACAAACTTATTTTTCAAAACAAAATATTATATTTTAAAAAATATTTTTACACACTTAATCATTGCACTACAAGATTATTTCAATTCTCTCTCTAATTTGAAGGATAATATTGAAAAAGAATCATTAATGAAATCTTATTTTTCTAGAATTTTCTTTCATTTTGGGATAGCAAAATTCCTCTAAAGTTGTCTTATAATTTGGGATGGAGGTAGTACTTTATTTGGCTGCATAGTCATGTGATGAGTAACAGTGCCACGGTACTATAGCAAAAATTATCTAAACTATCGCGGGCTAATGCCACAGTAATCTCATGCAGATTACCCTTCCGGAGGATGAGATGGGTCCTCAACTCTTGCCAAAGGCTGCCACTTCCTCTCCTGTTGTTGATTGGCTACATAATATGGGTTTATCAAAATATGAAGGTGTTTTCGTAAAGGAAGAAGTTGACTGGGACACTTTACAGTGGTTGACAGAAGAGGTGAGCTTATGTTTTGTAGCGTGATCTCGTACCATCAGTTTATTTTCATCACTTGTTACACATATTCCTTGAGTTTATGTGTATGTGCTATCTTTTGGGAGTATTATGTGTTGCAAAAGTTGATTTCACTTTGTTTTCTGAGAAAATAGTATTCCAATATTGTATTATATTCATAAATCTTCTTGCCGATGAGAAATTGTAATTTTACTTGAGACTTGAGAGAATCACACAAATTGCGACCAATATCCTTCAGAGAAAGAAACAATTTTTCTTTCTCCCTCCACACTCCAGGTAGAAAGCTCAATCTTTTGCTGTCCAACTCCTTGAGACATGCAATTTGCTTGTAAATTGTCTTATATTGACATTAAGGCAGTACTCATTGGCAAATTTCCGTTGGAAGCCTAAAAATATGTCTGGTATTAGAAATCATTCACTTTGGATTTTTCTGTCTCCTGAAAGAAGTGGGATGAAACACAACTTTACCACTTTCTATTGTTCTGTTTTTAGCTACTTTTCTTGTCCAACTATGTTTAATGACTTGACTATCTCTCTCTTTTGTTTCTATATCTGAAGGATCTCTTGAGCATGGGCATTACAGCACTTGGCCCCAGGAAAAAAATTGTGCATGCTCTGTGCGAACTTAGAAAAGGAATTGACTCTTCTAATGAAAAACAAGATGAAGGCCTTGTAGAGCCTAGGAGGATTAAAACCCAGAGAGTTAAATTGCATAATGATCAATCGGAAAGAAAAGTTGATGAAATCAGCAAAGCAGCTGCAAACAAATTAATTACTGATTATTTTCCAGGCTCTGTTACCAATAGGAAGAAAGTTACTGCCATTCCTGGTGAGCAGCATGGAATAAAAGGCAACAGTTCTGATTCAGGTCGTAAGCTTAAGGCGAAAAGGCCATCAACAAATAGAAAGTCTTTCGATATTCCCTCATGGTGTTGCATACCAGGAACGCCTTTCCGGGTGGTAAATACTGGATAGCACTCTAAACGATAAGCATGTGTTTGTTTTATCTTACTGTCTATTTCCTTGGTGCAAGCCTTTAGGACTTCAGATATATGGTGACTGAAAACGGAGCTTCAACTTATTTTTTGTTTGACTGCCTGAAAATGGGGAGTTTTCCATTATGGCATATGGCAATGCATTTGTCGTTTACTGTCAAGCAAATGCTCATTAACCATGGGGCTGACAACTTAAAAACTAAAGTAGTATTCTGAGCATACATGTCAATCATATTGTGCTTTTATAATTCTGCACCCTTCCGCTCTGAATTATTGCTGATTCAGAGGACGGGAAACACTGTTGACTAATGCAAGCATCCGAATCAAAAGAGACAAGTAAAGGATAAAAAAGAGAACATAGTATGAATTCATAGACAAATATCTAGGATTGAGTGTTTGAATCTGGAACTTCTGATTTTCCTTTAAAATGCTAGGCTTTTCCCTGCAATTCCATGATGTGGTTCTGAGTGCCTTGCAATTACATTTGGATATTTACAGGACGCTTTCAAATATCTAAGAGGAGATTGTAGTCATTGGTTTCTTACACACTTCCACTTGGACCGTAAGTTTGCTTCTGCTTGTTAGCATTCATGTTCACTTGTCATCTATAAATTTTCCATTGCAGCCTTCCATTTCCATGTAATTTTCTCTATATGTTAGTTTCTGACTAAATTTGTTAGCATTCACCATCAGTTTAGTAGTTCCTTTTTTTCAATAACAATGTATTTTTAACATAGATCTTAATCATATTCTGAAATTTTAGTTTTGGGTCTTAGGTCTTTTTTCCCACTATAGAGACAGATTTTCTAATAATATTTGGCACAGATATCCATCGAATAGGCTAGCACAATAGTGGCTTTGGTGTGTTAGATTCACATCGTACTAGACTTTGCTAGAACTAGTATGGTGTATGCATATTGGTGGAATATGTGTTCATGAGGTGGTTACTGCACCAAGACGGACATTTATTTTGTATGAACAAAGTCATCGTAGTTTTTCAGGCTTCTCTGAAACATTGAAGTACGACTGTTGGGTACTTTTATGTGTGCAATATGTTTACTCCCAACTCTTGCATCTACTGGCACCCATTCCCCCAGTGAGGAAAACAAATTATGGAGGTTGAGATCCCTTGTCATTGTAGTTGCATGTTCCTGATTTGAGATTGCAGAAAAAGAATGAACAGGGAGTTCCTTGTGTTGAGCTTCTACCCTCCTAAGCTCCCCGAAGAGCTACGTCTTGTCAATCTCGTCAATCCATTTTACGCCCTGGCTGTTGCTCCACGTTTGTGTATGCAGATTATCAAGGGCTCACCAAGTCCTTCAATCGTGGAAAGATCTACTGCTCCTCCATTACGGCTAGACTTGTAAATATGAACATTGGGATTCCGTTTGAGAAATTACACGTTATACCTCTAAATGAAAAAAGTAATATAGCTGGTATTGATGTGACTTTTTTGGATGCCAATCACTGTCCGGGTTCCGTAATCATACTCTTTCAACCTCCCAGTGGTAAGGTCTGGCCTGGATTGACTTCCTGGTGAACTTATTGTTTGCTTGTTGCCCCATTATTATCTTTTTCATTGACTAGAAATTGTACGTGCATTTAGGCTGTGCTCCATACAGGGGACTTTCGTTTCAGTCAAGAAATAGCATCCAGTCCTTTCCTGCAGATGTGTCCTATTCATACATTAATTCTTGATACAACTTACTGTAACCCACAGGTAATTCTATATCCGAATAGTGGAATCTTCTCTTTCATATAACTTGGCCGATTGATTGTGGAAAGAGGCAGCGTACTCTAGCTTCCTTAGGTAGTGTCTGTCAAATTGAAATGAATTTGGTTTAAGATAACTTTTCCTGAATCTTAATTAGAATCTTATTTATGAAATTAAATGTGTTCTTTAAATTAGACCAAGGTCAATTTTCCATATTTAGTCATTCAATAGTTCTATATTTAATGTTTCATTCACGTTGTTTGTTTACATCTCTGCTCTCGATGTGTGAAATATAAACACTAATCATTTTGTATCTCATGCTGTTTCATTGCAGTATGACTTTCCCAAGCAAGAGGCTGTGACACAATTTGTTATTGATGCCATTCAGGCAGAGACTTTTAATCCTCGGACTCTGTTTCTGATTGGGAGCTATACAATTGGTAGGGTTTACCACTCAACACTACATACTTCACATCAGTAATTTTTGCTGTTGCATAGCTGTTTGACATAAGTTGCAGTTTGGTAGTTAATTCTTAAATGTTGGTTTTTCTTTATCTGGGATTAATAGATTGTGCCACCAGCAAGAATAAAGTGGAAAAACATAAAGACTTGAAATGCGTTTTTCTTTTTCTTTTTACCCCCTTAGGGAAAGAAAGGCTATTCTTGGAGGTTGCTCGGGTGCTTCGTAAAAAGGTATACGTGAATGCAGCAAAGTTGAGGCTTTTGAAATGTCTGGGATTTGAGGAGGAAGACATGCAGGGGTTTACTTCAAATGAACATGAGAGCAACATTCATGTTGCCCCTATGTGGACGCTTGCAAGTTTCAAAAGGCTCAAGCACGTTTCAAGTCACTATGCGGTGAGAGCTTCTTTTTGTTCTAGCGTACTTATCTGGGTGTCTGTTTTATTATGCAATTCGCTGTATGTTTTTGAATACATACTCTTACACTAAGCCAATATTCGGTCTGTTTCCATCTTCGTCATTGAATATCTTGGCTGCAAAGTGCAAATAACTTTGCAGGGTTGCCAAGCAGTATAGCTGCTAGGCACTAATACAACGAAAGCTAATTTTCTCTTGAAGGCTGAAGTCGAAGTTGTGGTTTAAGTCTTACGCTTGTTTTTTTTATCAGGATCGCTTCAGTCTTATTGTGGCTTTCTCTCCCACGGGTTGGACATTCGGCAAAGGTAAAAAGAAGTCTCCAGGGAGGAGGTGGCAGCAGGGTACCATTATAAGGTGACGCTTTATTTGCCGCAAAGTCTCCTTTCTATTGTTTCTTTTCCTTTTCCTTTTCCTTTTCCTTTTCCTTTTTTCTTTTTTACACTGCTTTATTTAACTTCTAAAGGGAAAATGTGCTTATCCATGGGGCACTTGAAATTTTATATAATCGAACAATGAAAAAATTGGAAGTTCACTGATGAATAGAAAGAGGACAAATGAGCAGCAGTAAATAATAATAAAAGTATTTTATTAGTTTACATTGTCAACAAATAACAATTTCAAATCTGCATAGAGGAGCAATGGAGTTAATAGATCTTCTGATCTCTTTAAATTTGTTGCCCCAACCATCCATTTAGTTCGTAGCTCATTACAAGAGAACAAGTTGGGCTTTATTTTTCTTGGTTTTGACTGACTAGAGATTATTGCTGCTGATTGATTAGATACGAAGTGCCGTACAGTGAGCATTGCAGCTTTACAGAACTGAGAGAGTTTGTCAAACTGGTATCTCCTGACACAATCATACCGAGTGTGAATAATGAGGGGCCAGAATCTGCAAATGAAATGATTTCCCTCCTGTTATCATGATTTGTTGACAACATCGTACCCGTTGGAATTATGAAATCTCCTACGTTAGTATATTACAAAATCTTAAACCAATGTTTAATGATTGTACAATTCCATACATCTTGCTCTTCTTCATTAACGCCCGCATAGGATTATGACTGTGTTGGGCAGCGTGGGGAAAACAGACTTGATAATGCTTGAGCTTGAAATAATCCTGGTTTGGAAATCAGGATTGAGCCAGTGTATCTTTATCAAGTCCAGTCTGGAAAATGACCAGACAAATAAAAAAAAGGGGGTCAAGTACTATAACTGGTCAAAAACGCGCAAATTCAGTTAAAATCTAACCAGTTTTTAAAAAGACTATGATTTGTTAGAATCCATGCTGGAACTTTTCCTTATATTTTATAGATCCTCTTCCCTCACAATTTTTGCATGTGAGAATTAATACAGTAAAGAAATTATGAACCATAACAGCCTACACAACCATCCTCCACCCAGGCAAAATTGGTTTTATTTCCTCAACCTCACTAGAAGTGGTAGCCATGCAACTTGCAATTAAATATGTCAAAGACATATCATGTAGCATATTATTTAACTGAACAACAACTCCCAATGGAAAACAAATTTCTAAACTCTTCGTATCCACATCTCTTTATATAGTCATTATAAAAGTAAAAAAAAGTTATAAAACAATCATAATATAAAGATTATATTTGATGATTTTGACAGTTCATTGATTCCCTCCTCTCTAGCGATTCTTTGGATTGATTATATAACATTTAGATGTGTAATTTTTTTTTTGGCCAATAGATATGTAATTGTTAAAATTATGAAGGGAGAATGATAAATAAGAACTTTGTAAAAACATTTATGTCAAATTATGACTTTTTAACATTAATGTTCCCAAATTTTAATGCTTCTTTTACCATGTTTCAGTATTAAAGTTTTTAATTTGACATTGATATGCTTACAAGTTTCTTACTTATCATTTTTCCAATTATAAACTGATAGTATTGAATAAGTACAGGTAAATTGTTTAAAAAATCTTAATTAGTCTGGAAAGAGGCTGTCAAGTTGATCACATACATTTAATAGGCATGATTGCAGAATTATAATTGATATATATATATATATATATATTAGATATTATTATATGCCCTATTGGTAACATGATGAATGCCACTTCTATTTGATTTGGATTTGTTCAAAAGATGAATTGCTCAATGTCACTCGTTGAAGATATATTGCCACCAGACTTGAAAAAAGCATACATATGAACACAATCAACACTAACTTCTTATTACGGAGCAACGTCTATATATCTATAAATATAATAGAGACGCTACCATTGCACTAATATACACGATAATATATACTGACTAGAAATATTTTTTCTGCATTGCATAAACTCTGATTTAAGAGTTTCAGCCACCTCAGCAAAGTGTGTGTGTGTGTGTGTATATATATGTATTGTTCATAAGGGAGATATATGCGTTTTGTGTGTGCAAAGCAAGCTACGAACACTCGTATCCGAAGTTCCAAAGGAATGAATGGTGAGAATAAGCATCCTCGTATTGATTTTCCTGGGCATTGTAGTCGAAAGGCACGGCTGGGGGCATGAGATATAAATCGGACGACTCACCAAGCTGGAAGTAATCCAACTCAGAATAGAGTCCACAGTCGTCGGTGGCACCAAGGCCATTAGAGTCCAGCGAATTCAAAAACGACCAATCTATGGTCCTGGCATCACCATGGTCCACTTCTACTTGCGTACAGGAACTAGACGAAGAAGTACAGGTACTAGAACCTGTCCCCGACACCGATACAGGACTCGACTGAAATTCTGCAGACAAAGGTTCTTCATGGGGTGGCTCCGCCGGCGACTCGTGGGGCAGCTGTTTGGCGAAGGAAGAAGCAAGAAGCTGAATCTGGTGAGGGGTGAGAGATCGGTGATCATCAGGAAGATGAAAGAGGAAAGGAGTGTCAGGGAAGTTGAAATTGGCACGACCACCACGAAGACATAAGAGTGCAGCATCGAAGGCCCGAGCAGCCTTCTCTGCAGAATCGTAAGATCCCAGCCAAATGCGTTGTCGGCTGTTGGGAAGTCTGATTTCAGATACCCATTTCCCCCATTTTCGCTTTCTCACTCCTTTGTACCTGAAACACTGATCGCTCATGGTTGCAGCATTAGCGGACGCCATTAATGGCTTCACCATGCATGCGACTGAAGAGAGTGAATTGTCATGTGTATTTATATACTAACGGGATCGCAGATTGCTGCGAAGAAGGATTTTTTATCCGTGCAAACCTGTTGAATGGGCATACGGGGATGAGGGTGGGTGAAGTAGTGGAACAATATTGGGGCGTGTTCACCACGTGCTGAAAAAACGAGGTAGGCCCGTTCATTAAACATCACGTTTCGATATAGGGCATGGGCGTCCTTACGTTTTTCGGCTCGTTTCCTAGGATAGGTTCCCTTTAGCCTACAATTTTTTTCTTCTCCTTTTCTTTTTTCCCTTATAGAAATGTCTTAATAGTTTCGTTGGTTGCATGACGGCCATGACTTTCTTATATGAGGATATTTTTTTTTTAATATTACCTCCGTTTTAAAAAAATTTAATATTTTATTAACTAAATTTGTCTTAATGTTATCCTTTCTCTTTTTATTTACTTCTTCTAATTCTATTTTTAAATCATTTTCAACATATTTTATTAAGATTAAAAAAATTTTAAACTTTATTAATTTTATCTTAAAATTGAATGAGTTTCCACCTCTACTACCTAATTAAGATAAAGAAAATTAATTTTAAATTTTTTTAATATTTAATAAAGGAAGAAAGGTAAAAATGAATATAAAAAACAGTAAAGTGTTCTATAAATAAAATTAAAATTAATATATCTTTTTATTTTATAAATAGAATCAAAAAAATAATAATTAAGTAGTGTACATTTAATATTATTAAATGAAAAATATTTTTTAAAATTTATATTTTTTTAAAAAAATAAAATTATTAAGTATAGTTAATAAAATTTATTGGTTCCTAATTTAGTATGAATGGAGGAGTACTAAAAAGCGTCTCATGGATCAAGAACAAAATTGCATGCAGATGCAGTAACGGGAAGAGGATGTCGATCCCAGCCTGTCAGAAATCAGAATCCAAGGTAGAGAGCAATGGGGTGGGACCTACGAGTGCTATAGTGGACGATTATACTTTTTTTAAAAGAAAGAAAGAATAATAATGAGATTGATGTTTAGATTTCTAGCAAAATTTAAAAAAAAAAATTTATAAATATCAATCTAAACTGTCATAAATAATTTTTTTATAATTTAAGAGTTTTAGTATTATATAATTAAATATTTATTTGTAATTAAAATTTTTGAATTTATAATTATTTAGATCATTATTTTTAATTTATTTTTAAAAAAATTTGTTGAAAATTTAACTGCCATTAATTTAATATTCCATAACCTAATTATTATTCCCAACAAAAATAATAATACAACTCAACTCGTGACAAGCTATCTTACAAGCCAACTAAAAAGAAATGTAATGCTCCAGTCTTATATAAAAGTTAAAAGAAATTGATGATGATTTTTGTAGGTCATTTTATATAGAAAATGGATAAATAATTACTATTTTTTCATTTTTCACAATTTTCTACCAGTAGAGTAAAATGTCATATGAAAAAAAAACACATTTTTCAAGATGATGCATTACTTATTAAGAGGGCATTAATTAAACTCATAAAAATTTTAATTTTTTTATCTTATTTATAAATAACTTTAAATGCATTTCAACGAAATAAGGGAATGTCTTAAAATTCATTAAATCTATTTAAAAATTTGTTCTTAATATGAAATTAATGAGATTTTTTTAAATCTAAGGGAATGCATTTGTTCTTATTAAACACACTTCCATCATTAAAAAAAAATATGAGACATATTATTTTTTTAATATGAAATTAATGAGATTTTTTTTTCAAAAATTTCCTTGATTAGAAGTGTAATTAATAAGACTTTGTTTGATAATTTTCAATTTTGCAATTTCAATTATGCTTTTCAATTCATCTTAGAATCGATCTTAGTAATTAATTTTATAAATTAATTTATATACCACATAACATAATTAAGTATATTCAAAATCAGTTATATTGGTTAACTTTTTTTCATAATAATTTTTTTCTGATGGATATTCAAACGCATCCTCAATAAACAAACTACGATTAAGGTTTTTCTATTTCATTATGGGACAAAACTTTGAGCGAGGTTTTCCAACTAAATTTTTCACATTTTTTTTTTAAGTTTCATCATGTATATTAATTGACGAGTGCTTACAAATATCCTACTAACTCTCAGTAATTCTTAAACTAGCCACAAATTAACCCATGCCGCCCTGCATTTGTTTCGGTGTGGGATTTTTTAAGAAAATTACGGGGCTAAAAAAGTTAATTTTTTCACCAATAAACAACACAGATAATAAACTATAATAGTAATCACCATACACTCAATTCAACTGGCAATGGAACTGTACCATCTTGATCAATGGTTTCGAGCTTGAGCTTTGAAAATGCAGTAACATTAGTGGTGGAACCCTCGCTCGAAAGGATATTTTGACCTGATTTAATCTGGACTAATTTGAGCCTTGTTAAAATCTTCTCAAGTTGACATAAGGCATGCCTACGCAAGAAATAGCAACAATCTATTTACTCTAATACGATATGTTTATTATAAATTTAATTCAGACTACATGCATATAAACTTTATTCAAAAGACATACGACTGGAGAACAACTTTCTTTAAACATGATGTAATTACATATAAACTGTATTTCGAAAGCAATGACATTAAAAAAATTTATATGAATCTAATATAACAACTATAACTACTGATAGTGTGATGGCAAACAAAAAAAAAAGAGCTGATGCTATGTTTGGATGCACATGGATTTGGATTTGGATTTGAATTTGAGTCAAATCCATTGTTTGGATAATTAAAAATGCGAGTCAAATCCAAATTCTCCCTTAATTTTTTGTAATTTAAAATCCTTTCTAAACTCCTATTATTTCAAATACTAACTCAAGTTTTTTCATAATTTGACCCAAATGTATGAAGGCTTGATCAACCTGACAATGGTAATTGGACTGAACCACCAAAGTTGCCAAAAATAAGCTACCATCGTTGATCGAGACGGGATGGCCGACTTCCACTGGGATCGGACTGATGACGACGACGGGGACCAAATGGTCGACTTCCAATGAGATCGAACCGACAACTATGACAAGGACCGGACGATCAGTTTCCAGTGGCACTAGACTGACAACGATGATGAGGATCAAAAGTCCAACTTCCACTGGGTGAGGACCAAACGGTCGCCTTCTATCACCATCCCTTTAGTCTAGTCATCGTCGTTGTGGCCGTCGACCAGGTTTGGTCCCGGTGGAAGTTGGCTGTTCAATCTCTGCCGTAGGTCTGGTGCTAGTAGAAGTTAGTTGTTCGATGTAAACTCTAGCTATACTAATCACAATTAACTAATAAAATTCATGATAATCAAATGATTAACTTAAAAAGGAGATTATAAAGTTTTAATTTAAAATCAAGGAATCACAAGTTTTCATAATCAAAATGGGTTTAAATCAATCATAAACTTGTATATCAGAGTAAAAATAAGATACGAAAGTATAGGATACCTTAGGGAAGTGAAAAAGAATGAAAACAATTGAAAATAACTCATTTACTATGAAATAAGGCAATGAGCAGTGGCTTGTGCATGCGATGCCGTGGTGTGTTGCTCTTTGTATCACGCACTGTGGCTTAGGTACCATACGCCATGGTGTGTTATTCTCTGCACCACACGCTGTGGCTCAGGAGCCATATGTCGTGGCGTGTTACATGTAATTGACAACAAAATAAGGAAACTTCTGACGCATTTTAAATTTTCGTTCAACGTCTAATTGACATGATTTAGATATCTACGAAAATCTTTTTTCATAAACTAACTAATGACATGGGTTTTACTTTTAAAACAAGTTACACCAAAAAGTTGGACTCCTAAACATATTTTTTTTTCACTTTTTACAACTTTCACAAAAAGGGTGTTCAAAACCTACTACAAGTGTCAAAAGCCTTTCCAAACATCTAGACCATGTTCATTGGATCTAAGACTATCAGTACAACATGTCATTCACACTCAGATAATAATAAAACATAAAATTACTTCTCAACCCCTTTTCATTAAAAATAGAAGGGGGAGGCAATTAACATTGCATTGCATCAAAAACCATTGTAACATGTTTAAAATATTATTTATATACTTGTACTAATATTTTAGTCCTATCAACACATATCTTTTCATACACAAATATTCAGGGCCCAAAATACAACTCAAACATTTGTAATAATAAAATAGTACAAGTGCAACTATATGCAATCTAGAATTGGCAACCATATGCTATTACACAAAATAAATCTAAATTAAAGGCATACAATAGGAATGTATTAATTCCTAATCTCTTGAGCCTTCTCTCTCTCTGCACCAGAGCTAAAGCTTGTAAAGTGTTAAATGAAAGAGGTAAGTCTAGCCACTCAATAACTAAGGTAAGATCTACCATATGCAATTATTTATCAATTGTAAATCAACCACATGCATATGAAACCAAGTACTTCAAATATGCTTTAACACATATAAGCAGTTATTAATCTAGTGAACAAGTTTTCATCTCACACATGCTAGGTACATAATTACAAGACACTCACACATGTGATCATGACCCGCCACAACACACAACTTGCCATAACTCAAAATATGTGGCACATTATAAGTTTACATAGGCAATCATCAACCAACCTTATACCCTCCTTATTTTCTCAAACTGAAACTATGAGTTATAACACTGAATAGGATTTCGTCCACATGAATAGACTACCTAAACTCACCAATTATGAGGTGTGACCTAATCAAAAATTACATGACTCACTCTCAGACCACAGCTTTCCCCACTCTCGAATCTCTAGGGTGTCTCATATCCTAGGCTATTCTTCTCGTTGAACTGGTGGAGAAAGCTAGGTTTTAATCTCTTGACAAACTATAGGACAGTTCCTCGATAAATTGTAAGATAAGGCTATACATCTATGTATTGAAAGCCATCCTAAATACCATATGAATTTTCCTTTACTCCCAATCTCTAGGGAAACTCTTGCGCACTGATCATGCCATAAATGGTGCTCACTCATTTTCACATTTTTATTTA